GGGTGCAGACTTCAACTGCTCCAACAAGCTGAGAGAAGAAATACAATCTAGAATACAATCTAAAAATAAAGTATACTATGCCTTTCAACATCTGCTAAAGTCAAAGTGTCTGTCTCGCAACATCAAGATCAAAATATTAAACGTTCATAAGGCCAGTTGTTTTATATGGCTCTGAAACTTGAAGCAGAAATTAAAAAAAAAAAAAAGATGAGGCCTTATTACAGGTTTTCGAAAACAGTCTTACGACAAATCTTTGGACCCATCAAAGATGCTAACAGCCGGGAATGGAGAATGAGAAGCAACAAAGTAACACATAATCTGTTCAAATCATCAACACTGATCACTGGCATCATGAGATCTAACAGATTAAAATGGTTGGGGCATATTGAAAGAATGTCAGAAGACAGAGAAGTAAAACTGTATACACTTGAGAGAGGAATGGGCGTAGACCACGAGGCAGACAAAAAAGAAGTTCAAGAGATAATGTCCAGCCAGATCTACAAACAACTGGTGTCACAAATTGTGAAGAGAAGGCCAGCCAGAGAGATGAATGGAGACGAGTGATATCTGCAGCAGTAAACCTTAAGGGCTCAGAATGCTAAAGAAGAAGATGACTATTCTGTGCTTCTTTATGTGAAGTAAAAAGTTCAGCGTACATTTGAAATTATGAATGTGTTTTTTTTTTTTTTTAATTATATTTTATTCACTATACACTATTTGAATTCGTCTTCGTATTCGGCCGAATAGTTGGTCCCGTTACTCGTATTCGGCCGAATAGTGAAAATCACTATTCGGTACAGCCCTAAATGAAAGTAAACCTTACGAAAGTCTACGAAGACATTTACATAATAAAAATTTATATCGTAAAGCATTAAAAAAAAAAAAAAAAAAAAATACATATGATATTCTTCTTTAGTAAAACAAAATATTTCCTTAAAGTCATGGATATTCTAAGGCAAAAAATCGTTGTGATCTAACAAGCATTTTTCGAGAAAATGGCTTGCAAGTGTGTTTATAAATTGTTGAAAGAACTATAGTTTTATTTTGCCTTATTTGCTGCGTGTGGGCTGCGTGGTTTCGAGGCACGATGTCTGCCTCGACTGCTAGAGTTTCGGGTTCAATCCCTGGCAAGGGCTGGGATCTTTTCACGTTGACTTGGCCATCTAGTATTTCTCCCTGGTCTCCGAGTCACACATATTTACATAACATACTGTAATCCCAAATAATTTAAAACCATTTTAGGTTCGGTCGATCGAGCGCCAAGACCATTTACGAACTTGAAGCAGATTTGAACCTAAGTCTTTCGGACCGACACGAGAATGTCTAGCCACTATACGACAACGGCTTTTAATACTAGTGTTTATGTCTGTACACGATGTCAACGTCTTCGCACTTGCACTTCTGGGGCACAAGTAAGAATCCATTAACTTTCTCGAGACTGGGCGTATAAAATATTCAGCATTCCTTTTCCCTATCCAGTACCTTCTTCTCGTAACCAACGAAGCATAACTGAGGAGGGAAGGGGGTTGAGGAAACTAACATGTTATCGTTTGAAACGTCTACTGATAATACGATAGTAAAGAATGCATTTTGCAGGTCTAGCGAAGATATATAATTCGCGTTAGACATGTAAATCTTCTAACAATACCTGATTGTTCAAAAGCAGAGTTTCTGATAGAAGTATTGCCGTACTTGGCGTGTGCGGCTTTCGGCCGTCGTGTGTAGATCGGGCGGCGCGCAGATATAATATTATAGGAACAAATGCATAACAATATTTGCACCCAACTGTAGCCTTCCACCCAAAGTTCACAGCCTCATTGAAACACGACAGAATGGCTGGCATAACGTCGGGACTCAATCATCTCCTTCAGCTCTGGCAAAGAATCGACATAACAAGAACCCAGTCAATGACTGGGACTCGCGCCGCAAGCTCAGCTGTTCTAAAAGAAGATTGTCTGGCTCTGAATGAGGCGGCACACTTAAGAGAAGGCGGCACACGTGACAGTTTTTATATGAAAGAAGGTCAACAGTTTGGAACTGAAAGTATGTGTCTGGAGCCTTGGCTATTAAATACATTAGCATCTATGTTAGAAAAGATAAAAGTTTGGGGACTCGGAAGAAAAACAAATTATCGAATGTTCGCAACGCAAGCAAATAAACAAAATGTTAAGGTAGTCGTCTGTTTATTTCATTTCCTTGTTTTGTCGTTATAAATCACATTGGGCTCGCACTAAATTCTTTCATTCCGCTCAATCTTGTGAACCCCCCAAACCCCTTTCCCCGCCAATTAACTTTCTCATAACGAACAAAACAGCACAACCATGGGGTGCTGAATAGGGGAACCGAAGTGGGCTAGACGCTCGCATGCGGATCGGGAGGTCGAGGGTTCGGGTCCTGACGGAGTCTGGGCTTTTTTTTTTCAAAAATGACCTTGGCTCTCAGGTCTATTCAGCCTATAGTGGGTACCAGGTGCAGACCTGGGAAGTAAAGGCGGCCAGCGTGATGCTGACCAAATCACCCCCCAAGTGCCGTTCAGTCTAAAAAATATAGGTCTAGCCCTATATACCCAATACGCCTGAAGGTGTGGATAAGCACCCTTTACTTTTTTTTAAACGGGGTACTGAATACAGTGCCAATGTGGCCCTGGGTGCATATAAGAAGGCAGGGTGTTACCAATAAAAGTAACTCAATCCGGTGAAATCTGCCCCCGCCCCCTTTTTTTTCCAAAATAACATATCCACAACATTTTTATAGGATGCCGCCGTGGGTGTAGCTGATAAAAACTCGTCTGAGGACAGGAAGGTCGTTGGTTCGGATCCTGTAAAGCCGGACTTTTTTCAAAAATGACCTTGGCTCCAAAGTCAACCTAGTCTTAAAATGGGTACCAGGTACAGACTTTAGAAGTAAAGGCAGTCGGCGTCATGTTGATCATATCACTCATTGAGTGTCGATTGGTCTATAAAATATAGGTCTATCCATATACGCCCAATACACCTGAAGACGTGGAAAAGGGTCCTTTTTACAACCTATTTCTAGGAACAAATAATGTTCTCAAACCAACGCTATGCCTCAAAACTATTGGGGTCGCAAAGCAGGAAATAGAGAAAAGGGTAATAGGGCTCGAAGAGGACAGACAGAGAGGCTATTTTGCGTTTACAAAATTGTGCTGTTGTATATTCTATAATTTGGATAATGGGTTGCTCTTTTCTTTGGGTTTGAAATAGAATGATACAGGCAATAACGTTTAGCCTCAGATAGGAAATATTTATATAATTGAACTGTTAAATTTTTAAGAGTGTCACGAGTTTAACTTTCAGCGCTATTCTGATAACACAGAATAACCACGTAAGTTACGCCTTTACAACTTGTAACGGAACTTGCATTTCATAGCGCGTTGCGTCACTTTCGGCGCAAAACTTGTGGTCTTATTCAGAATTTACGTAAAACATAAGAAACACATGTTTTGTGAAAGGTAGGCGGGTTACATCTGTACTTTGTGCTATATAACTATTAAAAGGCAAGCCAACAAAGATCATCGGATAATAATATACCTCGAATAAGCAAAAATAGATTCCAATTATTTGGTTATGTGGGGCGAAAAGTCTGACATAAGGTTTAGAATTAAGTAAATATTAATATATAATTTCATTCATTTATATTCCACTACATCTGAGAGATATTTTTTTTAACATCGCCACCAATTCGTAAAAGCACCATAATAGATAAAATAATGACACATACTTTAATGTCAGTTGGTGCTCTCTGGTTACCTGCTAACAAACTGCACTGACGGTGTGATTCCTCAGCACACAATACCGAAGACATGAACCCTGAAGAGCCGGATCAAGTTTTACCTCACCGCGTCGCCCACTATTCGCAGCACAGATAAGGTCTCCTCACGTAGCTTTGTTGGGTAAGTTTATTCACTGCTTATATTGAGCCAAACACGGTGTGCTTCTGATTTACGCTGGAAGATGAGACACCGTTGGCGTACGTGATACAATGAACTCATTACGTTTAAAGGATTACCCATTAATATTAATGCGAGCATATAGACACACCCCCCCCCCCCCTTTCCCGTGTTTGGATTAAATCTTAAGTTCACGAAAGTTCAAGGCTAGACGATAACGATTATGCACAAACAAGTTGGTATGAATCTAAATATATTTAAAGTACACTTCGAAACCGCCGCTCTGCTGACTGTTCCGTTACGCGTGTGATTTGCGGCAGTCTTCGGACATGTGAAAGCAGTTTAATAATTAAGGGACTACAGGATTTCAAGCTAGCTGCTTCCGATTTCACAGCAGACCCATTTCTGTTGATTTCTATAATAATAATTCGAGGGTGGGATGTTAAGACAGCAACAGCAACCAAAATAACATAAAACTGCCTAGTGAAACTATCAACAACCCAAAACATGTCGAGATCTGTGTGTGACTTCATATAAAGGACATGCAAATAACTTTTTTAACGGAGCACTTTATATATAAACAAACTCTGATGTTCACTGTACGACAGCCGGGTACCACAGTAACAGAAATTTCGTCTTTATTGTGGAGTGTTTGGAGGTTAAGGAAAAAACACCTGTCCGACTAGCCTGGCCTGGCCGTTTATCAAGGACAACGTGAGTGGACAGCTGACGCCTCCCGCAGTTTGCGCATAAATGTCTGCCCGCATTTGAGGACTTTTATTTGGCTGCCAACAAGACTGTAACAGTATGCGTGATATCGCTGGAGACTGCGCACAGCTCCAAGTCACCACAAGCTACTGTCTTCGCGTGCCGCCGAGAGTATGTAAAAAGTCAAAACGTGTTAAAAAGTTGTATTTTTGACAAAAAAGTTATCTTGAAAAATTGTGTTATTTATAAATATAGTTATCTGGACAAGTTGTTGGTTTTTAGTAAACACAGTGATTAAACACAGTGATCTTTCCTGGTTAGTGCAGGCAGTTTTCAAAACAAACCAGGGAATATTCAGCACTACAGGAGCTTAACAGTAGGAATGTATGGTGCTACTACCATGACAGAACGAAGATTCGTCATAAATCTAGCAGCAGCGATGACCGTAATACTGGTGACATCTTTCCTACCTGGTACATATGGTGAACAGGTAAGAACTACTATATCATCCCCTTGATCATCATCATTCTTGCAGACTGGCATAGGCGATTAGGCCTCTCCACAATCTGTGATCTTCAACAGCTTGTATCAGTTGGTATGCTGACACCCCTCCATGCCATGACAAACATAAGGCTGTCAAGAATCTTCCCGCACTGTCTTTCTGTGTCTTATTTTCCATAGATTTTTCCCGTCGTCACAACATTTCCAGTTTCCTTCTTCTGATAACATGACCACAAATGATGACTCTCTTTCTGATGCTTGAGATAAACCGTCTTCGCGCACTCGAATCTCTCCACATACACGGGTTGCTCTTTTTGTGGCCTGTTCAAGGAATTCAACGAATTCTTCTGTAAAACCACATCGTTGAGGCCTCAAGAAATGGTTTGGCTTGTTTATTAATTGTCCAAGATCTACAGCCATACGTTAAAGCTGGCTGTATATAGCATGTAATTATTCTTTTTCTCACCTCTATCGCAATAAATATTCTTCGTCCTCCCCGTGTGGGTTCCGGGGCCCTGTTATAGGGAAAACAACAATAGACCAACTGCCTACCCAAAACCATGTCGTAAGAGTCGACTAATTGGGAGCTTCCTTCGAAGTCGGAGTGCATCTGCCTGAGAGGCAAGGAACCAATAGTTTGCATACACATTAGTCAGATCTGTCAAACGGATGCACACACAACACACAGGTTCTGGAACAGGACTGCAGTCCAGAAGTGGATAAACAACCAGAACTTTCCGCCAGAGTTTACAGCTGGTGAACGCGAAGAAGAAGAAGAAGAAGAAGAAGAAGAAGAAGAAGAAGAAGAAGAATATTTTTCATTTTATAAAATGCAGTTTTAGCTTGTGCAATTTTGTTCTTTACCTCTGTGATACCTCTCTTTCGTAAGACGTTTTTTCATTTGCCTAAATACTTACCAACGCCCTTAACTTTTATTATACATTTAGGCACTCTTCTTCTCTGATTTTACCATTACTTCTTTATTTGTGTCTGAAGATACAATTGGACATGTATGCAGGCTTTGTAAATTTCGGCGAGGAGAGGAGTGGGTCAAAGTGTCCGATCAGGTTTCAGATTTGTGTTGTGATTGTATATACAGATGGCTCTGTGTTGAGGGGCAGACGAAGTGCATGGGGGTTCAAAGCGAAGACGAATGGGTGTTGCTTAGTGTAACAAAGCCTGGTATATGATATCACAACATTTAGTTTGAGAATGGAGGTGGAGGCAGTCACTGCTGCCTTCTGCTGGCTTGAGAATCAGCTGTACACACATTGTAACTGACTCACAGAGCATGCTGAGAAAGATGGAAACAGGCATGCTCCGTGCAGGGTGGCAAGCATAATTTCAAAGGTACCGGGTAGTTAGCATCCTTTGGATATTTTCTCCAGGTCATGCCGGTGTGTTGGGACCATCGCTGGGGCTACGGAGAGAATTCATTGTGAAACGCTCTTCTCAGGCTGCTAGCCTTTCTATGCAGACTGAACTGCGTGATATGTTATGTTATTACAGTCGACGTCTTTGCACATTGGGCACCCTCATGCATGCTCAGTCCTCCGATGCAGCAGCTACTCCAAGGTATCTCTACTGACACAATGAAGCGTTGGTCTTTACCTCGAAGACGCCATAGATGTGCTTCACCAATCTTAACTCCTCGGTCACGCAGTTGTGTTAGTGTCATAGATTCGCCATTATCCCGCAACCTAGTCAGGACAGCGTTGGATATCAGCTCTGTCCGTGCTTCTTCCTGTTTGCATTGGCGCATTACTTGCTAGCTGATCAGCTCTTTCATTACCATTTACTCCTGCGTCCCCAAGTATGTAGATCCAGATGATGGAGGTAAAGTGCGACTCCTGAATGCTTTCTACCCACTAGAGCGAAAACTTCCTGTAGCGTCAGATAAACAGTAGTAGTAGGTCGAGGTATAACTTCACAGCAAACAGGCCATCCTACTATTCCCAACTTCTATGTCAGGAGAAGCCCCTAACGGACACATATCTGAAAACTAGTTGATATACAGTTCGTCCTGGGAAAATCCAGCCAGGGCTGCCAATGGGATTTTTTTTGAAAAACCTAGCTTCGCTAAACACTGCTCCCTTAACAAACATGTCGTAGAAGGGGACTTATTGGGGCGTTTTCCTTAGAAGTCGGAGTGCATTTGCCTGAGAGTCAAGGAACCAACAGTTCGCAAAGAAATAAGCCAAATCTGTTAAACACATGTGCATCAACAACTTAAGTTCTGGAACAAGACCCTAAAGGGGAGGGGAAAACCAGATCATTACAGTCGGTGAACATTAGGAAAAAAAAAAAAAGCCGTCCCAAGTCAAAAAAGCAGAATCTACTAGTGGGCTGCTTTCACACACACGTAGTATTGTCTCCAGCGTGTTAGGTCTCTCTCAACTCTCAACCCGTCGCTGCAGCAAACCCTTAAACATGAGACAAACACAGCCTGTAGTCGGCTTGTATGCTTGGAATGTGAAACAAAATGCGAATACACACGTCTCCAGTTTCCTATTTAAACTACAAGGCGCTGGCTTTGAACAACGGCCCAAACATGTGGGCGCAAACATTATCCTCCAAATCCTTCTTCAAACGGCACCTGCTCCAGCGACAACTCGGGTGACCTACGTGCTAACACCCGTTACTCTGAAATGTAGACTGAAGTATTGAACCCGTAATCTTCGTGACCTCGAGTTTCAACAGTGTATGCGCTTAGAACTTGTAGACGGTTCAAGAAGCGAGGCGAGAAAACTGACCTCGGTTTCCAGTTCAACCTAGCCTAACAGGGTTACTGGGAAAGTATGTGGGAAGAAAAGCTGTCAGTGTGTTACTGAACGCATAACTCGTCGAGTACTAAATTATATATAAAGATAAGCAACATGCACTAGATACCTAATAGCGGCGACCGTGGCTTGGGCGTTGCGAGTCCGATTCGTAATTCCAAAGTACCGAGATCGAAACACACTGTCAGCTGCGTGGATTTTTATCATGGTATGGAGCGTCGCAGGTCGACCCAGCTTAAAATGGGTACCAGGATGTATGTCATGGGCAAGTAAAGACGGCCGGCGTAATGCTGACCATATTACCCACCTAGTGCCGATTGGTCTGTAAAAATATGGGGTGCTCTTTCCATATGCCCTAAAGGTGTGCAAAATGAATCTTTACTTACTTTACTATATACTTAATACGCAGCATGTGGAAACCGAGTCACTCCAATTACTTTACTTGATACAGTAAAGGACTTGATACAGTAAAAAGTCGAAAACGACTTCTTCCTTTTCTTTTTTTTTTCTCCTACTTACTTCATCAACGTTTTGGAGGGAGATTAAAGGATTGAATTTTCTGTGTGCTCTTTTTCATGCGTTGCGTAAGATGACCTTTATTTCTTTAAGGCCGTTCTTGGTACTGTCGTTCCAGATTTGCGTGGCTGCCCTCTGTAGCAGCTGGTATCAGGACATTCTCGCTAGATGACCGAACCATCTCTTATCAGTTCATGTGTTCCAACTGCGTAAGAAGTGTGGGTTTTTCCGACTGACCAGGGCTCCCAGCATGACGCGGTCTAAAACTGATAAAAGGAAATCCCTGGGAAGTAAAGGCGGTAGGTGTGATACTGGCGATATCATCTATCGGGTGCCGATCTGTTTTTAAAATATAGAAGCATCCTCATCACATACTCTCACGCTTTCCGTTGGTTCTCACGCCAGTATGAGTGTCTGCCGGATCGGTAAGCAGTGACAAGCCAATTACTTTAAACGACACAGCAGCCAATAAATACTGGGGTTGGTTCACACCGTTAATCCTTCTAGGTTGTGCAACTAACTACAACAGGAAGCAGAAAACAACACCGTTTTAACCACTTCTCCCCGCCAAACGACACCAAAATCGTGAGATTATTCAGCATAAGATAACGGAGACGGCTGACTGACGACCACCTGAGGCAAGCTTAACACACAATGTAAACTAGAGCCAGACAAATTGCTGGTTAGCCATACGGTGACAGACCAAACTGCGTCTCTGCAAAAACTACCGTGTGACTCCATTACGTTTTTTTTTTTAAACTGCAAACTTCATCCTTTCTTGGATCACGAAAAAAAAAAACACACACACACACACAGAGAGAGAGAGAGAGAGAGAGAGAGAGAGAGAGAGAGAGAGAGACAGAGAGAGAGAGAGAGAGAGAGAGAGAGAGAGAGAGAGAGAGAGAGAGAGAGAGAGAGAGAGAGGAGATATGCAGTGATTCTTATTAAGTGGAAGGAGAAGGCCCAGTACATAAATGTAGAGACCATATCAAGACACAAACATTAACTACGTACAGCAGAAGCATCCGTATCACGCCAGATGTGTATCTCGGTATATGATGAAAGACCATTAGTACTTTAATAATAATAGTTATTACTATTATTTTAAAACAGAAAATCGTCATTCAATGAGCGACTGGTCAAAACTATGCCGGTAGTCATACAATCTCATCATCACACAGCAGATCCTTTACAGAACGTCGATCTCTTTAAGGCACGCATGAAAGTATCTATCATCTATCCATCCATCCATCCGTCTGTCTGTCTGTTTATCTATCTAGCCAATTCTCCAGCCCTATGTGCTTTCACAGTCAATGCATCTTCAATGTTCTGTATTTCTAAACAATGGATCAACAGCACGGCACAAAAGTAGTAACCCATAAGTGCTCCGTTCCACTTGTAACTCAGTCTGAGTCAGAAGAATCTCAGAGCACTGCACGAACCCCGTAGCTCCGGCGATGATCCCGAAATTCTTTGGGTAGATTTTTAACTCAAAATTTTTGCCCGAGCAGCGCCGTTAGGCTACTCTTTTCGATTGTCAAATGCCAAGGATTTTTACGTGCGCAACAATACACACGGGCATCCGATCTCTCTACCCAGAGACCAGGAGAAATTACTAGAAGTCCACGTGAAAAAACTCCAGCCTTCGTAGGGGCCTGAAACCAGGACCTCCAGCACTCAAGGCGGACGCCAT